AAGCGTACCCAGGGTGGTAGCATGAGCGAGGGTGGGTACGATAAGCTAGCCAGGGTGGGTGCATGTAGCGGGTGGGTAACACTGTAGCAGGGTGTGGGTACATGTAGCAGGTGGGTGCGACTTTGTTATGAAACGAAGGGGTGGTACATGTAGCAGGGTGGGTGGCAGTAGCGGTGGGTACATTGTAGCAGGACGATGCAGGCGACATAGGCTGGGGAAGGCTGGCGGGTAACATGTAGAGCAGGGTGTGGGCTAGACATTGTCTTGAGAGCAGCGGGGTGTGCATGTAGGGCAGGGTGGGTGCATTGTAGCAGAGTGCGTTGAAATGTAGCAGGGGGGGTACATAACAGGGCTCAGGGTGTCATAGTAGTTCGACAAAATAAATTGCTTATTTGCCTCTTGTATTCTGCATTCTCATTTATTATATATTCTGTGTTATAACTTATATTGTGCTCTGTTATTTGTATTCACTATTGTATGGTATTCGGTGTTGTATTTTGGCAAAAGTTTTTATATCGTATTCTGTATTCTGTGCTCTGTATTGTATATATATTGTAAAAATTTGTATTCTGTATACTGTATTGTTGTGTATTTGTGACTGTTTGTATTCACTGTGTATTCTACTAGCTGCTGTTGCACACGTAACACGGCCTACGCTCGGTACGCGGTACTTAGTTGGTGCTAAGTTCTGGTAAAAATGCAGTTCACACGAAGATACCGAAGATTGCGAGGCTGTGTAGGCTAGCTAGGTGATAATATAGACTGGTACCGTCGGAGTTCCGACAGCCACACGCTACACTACGTCGTGCGCGAACGGGTAGCCAGTCTAGGTTAGAGCGGCTCACAATTTGCGCAATTGCACGACGAACAATGCGTTCACAATGCGCGAACAACACGAACAATCGTTCAACACGCACAATCAATACGCGCGGCCAGCGTGGTGCCGAATATACGCGGCTTAGTTGGCGCGGAATATGATTCCGCGCTAAGCAAGCCGGAGCAATCGCGGCTAAGCAAGCCGTGGCTAAGCAAGCCGCGTATATTTTAGCGTGTGAACGCAACTAAACTCCTCGTGTGAACGCAGCATATATTCTTTTGTGGTCTTGTTGTATTATATTTTATTGTATTCTGTATTATTTAGTTTATTCTGTATTGTATTGCATTCTATGATTTCTATTCTGTATCGCCTTCCTGCAGGGGGCCTCACTGACAGCCTACTGCCTACTCTGCGAGTACTTCCCCACGGCACAACGCGCCTTTGCTGGCAACGCCATCTACTTTGCCTGGTCCGTGGGTCTGATGTCCCTGCCAGGCTTGGCCTATGTCGTTCAGGATTGGAGGATGCTACATCTCATCATTTCCGTGCCAATGCTGCTCTCTCTGGCCATGTACTGGTGAGTATACTGCTACAGCTGCTACTGCTCGTTAACGTTGGGAAACTAGACACAAATTTGTTTTGTCGTCTTGGCCGTTTCTGTAAAAGGTCGGAAGTTTTGGGAAGATTGGTGTCATTATAAATAGAAGTAGATTTAGATGAGGAACGACTGTTGCACTATTTGCGATCTGAGGGTGTAACAGCCAAACGTAAGATACCACTGAACTTTATTAGTTAAAAAATGCTTGAAAAGTTAGCTTGAATAGAAGTACCAAAGTAATTTATTGCACTGTGGTATGGGGTTTATGTACGTGTACAGTCTGTGCTTGTGGGCGTACTGCATCATATGGCTAACGGAATACGCTAATGATGAGGAAGGTCAAATACGTAGGAACTTATGCATGTCGTTTCACACGTTTCATTGTCTAACCTCCGTACCAGTACCCTACACAGGTGCTTGTCCCATCTTCACCAATCACAAGACTCCCCCTGTGTGCTATTACGTATGAGCGTCGGTTTACGGATGCTTACCTGTTTTCCTGTGCAAACGTCGGTTTACGGATGCTTCCCTGTTTTCCTGTGCAAACATTGGTTTACGGATGCTTCCCTGTTTTCCTGTGCAAACGTCGGTTTACGGATGCTTTCCTGTTTTCCTGTGCAAACGTCGGTTTACGGATGCTTTCCTGTTTTCCTGTGCAAACGTCGGTTTACGGATGCTTTCCTGTTTTCCTGTGCTAACGTCGGTTTACGGATGCTTCCCTGTTTTCCTGTGCAAACGTCGGTTTATGGATGCTTTCCTGTTTTCCTGTGCTAACACGTCGGTTTACGGATGCTTGCCTGTTATCTTCCCGCAGGACGATGCCGGAGTCTCTACACTGGCTCATCACTCACGATCGCGCGGGTGAGGCTGAAGCCATCCTGGAGACTGCGCGGCGCGTGAACGGGGCGACACTTCCCCCGCACTCACTCACTCTCATTCCGTCCTCCGCCCCCTCCTCCCCCTGCTGCCGCATCGACGGAGGAGGCAGTGGCGAGAAGCGTGAGAGGAAAAAGACGTTCCTCGACGTTCTGCGGACGCCGAACCTCCGTGTGCACGCTCTTCTCTGCTGCGCGCTGTGGTAGGTATGCCGCGCAGTCGCGTGTGACCGTTGTATGCGTCCACTCGCTCCCCGGCACTAACGTTAATCGATTGTCTCTCATATCTGTGTTTGCAGTATCTCTTCGTGTAGTACATTCTTCAGTAGAGTTCTCGTTGATGGTAAAAGTGCTCACGTGAGACAATGAGTGCATTGTCTTTGAGACAATGAGTGCATCAATGTCGATGTGGCTCTTTTTTTAATAGTATGTAGCTGGCTTCTAGTCTTTGGTACCTGATTCTTTCTAGTATCTGTAATGCAGAAATGTTTTCATTCATGACATCTCTATTAGGGATGAATTGAACGATTTTTAGCTCATCTGACGTAGTCAGATGCAGCTTGTAGATTTGCATGATCGTGCGTGCGTGCGTCCGTCCGTCCGTCCGTCCGTCAACAGTTGGGCACAAATCTAAACAGCTCGGCGTACGGATTCGAAAGTCGGGACGTGGGGGGGTAATCCGAAAACGAGTTAGGATGTCGAAGATGGGGGTCAAAGTTCAAAGGTCAAGAGGTGTAAAAGATATAACTTGACAAAAGGTGTAACTTAAGGTATAGGGAGGAAATGCAGAATTGCGGCACAAATCTAAACGGCTCGACCTAGGCTCGTGATAGTCGATGTATAGCATCATGGTAGGAAAAGCCATCACTGTGCCGAAATTGGAGGTCACAGGTCAAAGGTCACAGGGCAGATTTTAGACATTTTCTGAGGACATGGTCTGACGGAGCGATTGAAAAACTTTTTTGTTTCAGCGGTGACCTACCATTTTTATGGCTTTATTGAAAGTACCATGAAATGTACTTTCCGCTGACATGCGAAGAGTAAGTGTCGGATAACCTTTTGACCCTCAATAGGAGGGTTAAACATTGATTTGTGTCACAATGCACCATAAAACAGGAGGTTCAGGCACTCGATTTGTATCAACCAATGGGATTTGGGAGGTATGCAGAATGCAGAAGATTGCTAAAATGATGTGTACGCAACTGCGTATCTGCATATCTGTGTCACTACGCACGACTTAAATGTTACGTTTATAACCGTAGCAACAGACCTCAAACGAGCCCAGACGCTCTGCGGCTCTTGTTTTATACACTGCATTTTAATTTTTTTGGTCACTGTAAAAAAGGTTGCCATATCGTTCTACTTGCCACACTTCTTTGGCACTAAGTGGGATGAAATTCTAGGCAGGGTTCGCTTACTTGGGACTAGACAGATTTATGATCTTTTATTTACTGCCGTATAGTTACTATAATGGCAAATTTCACTGGCCCATTGATTTTCTCTCCTTGCAATGCTGCTACTTTAGCTTTTCCCCATATGTAGGGTTCAAACAAAAGAGTAAGATGAAAATTCAGATGTAACCATGATATAAACATTACGATCCTGATCCTGAATTTAAAAGGATTTCAAGTCTGTCAAACAGCTAGAATATCTCGTCACTTGTCCTAATGTTACTAGATGATGGTCAAGGACTTTGGCCTGAGTGACTTTTTTCGAATTTATTAGTGCGGCGTTTTGAGCGGTTAAACGTTAACGTTAACGGTTAAAGGTTGAGAAGTTGAACGTTCCAGCTAAAGTTCCCGGTTTGGTAATAAACGCTTTTTGTAATTTTGGATACGAACAAATATTTTTCAATCCATATATGATAGATGTTCAGATATAATTTTTGTGCATGATATGTTTACATGATATACTGTAAAATGGAGTAATAAGCACAAATAATAACTACATTTGTAATTGTGATTAGAGTTTAATCTGGGGACTTAAACTGATTAATAGTCTATTAAATGCTATAATATACTGAAAAGCTATTAATAGCTTAATAAGCATAATCTTTTTAGCTATTTTAATAAGTGAAAGAACGAAGCTTTACTTAAAAGACGATTAGAGACTACATACATAATGTACTCATCTGACCTAAGGTCTTAAATTGGCTTCTTATGGACACCCCTTGTATTATAAGCATGTTTTGCATAACTGAATATGTCTTATATGTGTGCATAGTGTGTGTATGTGTGCGTGGTTGCATGTGCAGTAGCTGCATGGCTTCTTTATAATTGCTTTGGTCTTCTAGCTGCTGTTGCTGCTATTGCTAGAGGTTGTTAGCATCACAGACAGTTATATATCATGAACCTATTTTTATTTATGCACCTATTCATACTAATATAAATAGGTTTATGCGCACACAGGCAAACCAGTACAAAAGCCACTCAAGGAAAAATGCCAAAAGTGTTCTTTATAGATCGTTGTGCATCCTATAGGTATATAGAGGTCACATCCTATCAATGTGTTAACGTATAACTGCCGCTCGAGAGATGCCAAGAGTGCCCTTTATAGACGGGTATACCATCTATAGATGTGAAATGCCAAGTGTCATTTATACACTGATGACTGTTCCATAGCGGTGGCCACTGATATAGGGTTGACGGTAGGCAATATGATATGATCGTTGCATACCAAACACCGTTGCCTTGATTTATTTCCTTATGTTGAAGATGCTTTATATTACTGCATGTCTCAGCAGAAGAGGCCTTTGTTGTTTTCGTTCATGGAGTCGTCACTGTTTATGTACATGCTTATGTCTTGCTTGCCATCTTTACGGTAACACACTCGCTGCAAACCAGTGAAAGTGGCTGGCGTTCGGCATGCGCTTCAAAATATGATGATTGTCTTGTATGTTGTATGTCGGTAGCATTTGTTTTGAAATTTGAGTGTAACTGATGTTTATTCCACTGTCATGTCTGTGTGTGCATCGAATGTATGAGAGAAGACAACTGTCACGGCAATGCTGTGTTTCCTGTTAATTACGTGTAATTCCTCTGTGTTTTTTTTTGTCAATTATTGTCTAAGAAGTTGGACTTTTACGGAAGCAGTTGCAACCCTTATCAAATGTTTGTTGTCTAGTAAGAGACATTGTGTCGCTTAATAGTGACTGTATGTCCGGTGGATGGTTGCTTTCATACTTGCGGTTAGTTGTTACCATGAAGAACTTAGAAGGCGCCTCCTGCATATGTACGTGTGGCGTGCAAATCACCTTAAATTTGCCTTTAAATTCCTATTTAGCCTCTAGTTCCTTTGTGCACTCTGGTCAGACGACTTGCATCTCCCCTTCCCCGTACAATTTCTGCACCGCGAGGGGGATGCTTCCCCAGAAGTTCCGGAACAATCGACGACGTCTCTTTTGCAAAAGGGCCGTCTTGCGGAGAGCAGCGGGTACGTATCGTTGTTCTGCTCGACATAGTCGGTCTAACACCGTGTGGCACTGATCTCCTCTGTCATCTTATTTCCATTCGCAGAGCCGGGTCTAGATCACAGGTACGGGATCAGCGGCAGAGAAGGCATCAGGGCGTGGCCCGCCCCGCCCGGCTCTCATGTGATGAGGCTGGAAAGGAAACGTCGCGGTGTTTGCCCCGCACGCAGTCCCGCGTGTGAGTGTCAACGATGCGACGGCCGGTAGGTACACCGATTCTCCTTCTGTCGTCTCCGAAGCGACCATTAGGGCGGTCTGACAGATCGCTCTCTCCCAGGAAATCGGCAGATGCTGCTCTGCAGAAAAAATGGAATTTTCCTGTGGAGTACGTGTTTTCGCCAACCTCGGCACGCGGTGTGCACAGCGAATGAATTAACCTTCCATTTTCTGTCAGACAGGATGAGGGTTAGATGTCGCGACGCTCGCTGGGCAACAGCCGGATTTAAAATATGTGCGATGTGATTTTCAGATCTTTGGGAATCTTTCGGTCAATCGATGGTGGTAATCGTTTGCTAGCCGTCGCCGCGCGGTGTGCGATGACGGCATGTCACTGTGTCCATCGCGCCTTGCCGTCTCGTCGTGTATGCGCGCCGCTGAGTCGTTGTTTACGCGTCGTTCTGCAGGGCGATAAATGGCATGGTCTACTACGGGCTGTCGCTCGGCACACACGTGCTCGCTGGTAACAAGCACCTTAACTTCTTCTGGTCAGCCGTCGTCGAGGTTCCAGCCTACGTCGCCTGCATCGTCCTGCTCAAGCGGTACGTTGCAAAGATGGCCGACGATTTCGGTGATTGTCGCGCGTGCGATGGCAGACGCGTCGGTCGTGACATTGTGTGGTTCGGCATGGCGACTTGAATGCTTTCGTGTTGAGCGATCACAGAATTCCGCGTTGAAACGGTTTTTTTAAGAATGCGTTTGAGTTGCTTCAGTGAGCTTTTCCTCTAATTATGGTCAGGGCATCTGTGAGCGAGGAATTATTACACTGTCTAATATCCAAACATTTTTTGGCTAAGTATATGCAGGGTTTCTTCTGAGGGGAAATTAGACAAATGAGGTAATGACCAGTTTGGGGAAAAAATATGCGCATGATGGATTCAAATACAAGATGTATTGATATACTTATAGCTAGGTATATAGATACAGGATATACTTATCAGTAAATACATTTTCACAACGGCGATGTTAAATTTGACAACGGCGGTACGCGGAAACCCTGATATGCTGCATCATGATGACTATAGATGGTCTCAATCTTTGTATATAGATGCCAACTGATATTGTTGATGCTAGTAAATCTCAATACACAACGGGAAGGATTTCTGTACCAACAAACTTGCGTGTTTAAACTTACAGGGTTCAAAATATATATACTTAAAGCAAGGATTTCTCATGACCTGATGATACTTACCGGTACTCCTTGCATAACACCAAATATATCTAAGGCTAACATGTCATGTGTTTTGTGGGATCGTTTGGAAATTCCATTATCGTGAATCTGAACTAGCAGGCGCACGTTTGCAGTTCATCTGGTGTTTTATAGCCTATAACAGCACAAATTTGTGGTGATTGTTGTATCGGAGTAATCAGTAAAAAGTCCGCTTATAGGTGACATCCAATTTGTCTGCAATTATGTAGTTTCCCGATTTATTCGTGACCTACGTTGATCAAAGATAAGATTGGCTGATTACGCAGTGCAACTGCTAGGTAAAAAATCTTTGTTTCTGAGTTGTGTGCGAAACTAAAATAGTGCTGTGGAGCCAATAATGATATAGGCAGATATTTTATAGGAATTATATATATATATATGAATTTTTCCCATGTATGCAGTTCTTCATAACATCTCTAGGTGGTGAATCGATTAGCCGCGTTCCACTTGCGATGCTTCTACCCTCTATGCTCGTAATTACCCCTCGTTTCATGTCGTTGCCGTTGTGATAATTGCAGCATTACATCCGCGTAATTACCTCTAATTAATTGCTCTACCGCAGCAGCTTATACTAAAGTACTGTAATGTCAGCATTGCTACCTCCTGCCTGCGTACTACTATAGTTGGTGAACAACAGTAGATGGTGGCCATAGGCAGCAGGCCTGAATAAGCATCGAACAGAAATTCACAGTAATACACACACTGTTACTGCACTTACACAACATACACTTTATTCATGTTAAATAACTACAGATTCATGCTCTATGCTCCGCTCGAAACTTTTGCCAGCTCTATGATGCGAATTTCTGCAAAGTTGTCTGAACACTTTTCAAACACAAAAATGACCAACCGGTCGCTGTGGCTATATGCTACCTGACGGAATGACACAACAACACGACAAGACCAATTTTACTTCTAATGCTTTCTAGACGTCTACGAGGCATCTAACTTGCGTGCGTAATGCAAATTATTGCGCTCTAGTGCCGAATTTCGGCAAAAAAAATGCAAAAAAAACCTTTTATAGAGACGAAATAGTGCAACGGTGAACAATTTGCGGAGGCTTATACTGTTGTATGCCTCCTATACATCTATCGTGCTGCGAGCTGTGCTGACACTTATTGCTGATGCTCTGCCTGAATACCTATTGTAGCAAAATGGGGAGTACAATAGCAGAGATGCCAACCACTGCGATTTATCCAGATTTTATACGAATTTCTATTCCTTTTCTATTTCTATTCTACGACCAGTTTGTATCAAACTACGAATTTCACTGTGATCGAACAAAATATTTTTTTTTCCAATTATTGTCATTTTTGGTCACTACCTCGAACTACTAATTTGATGGCCAGAAACTACAGATTGCTTCAAATATGTGTTGGCATCTCTGCAATAGACAGTAGGTGTTGGAAATAGCAGCCCGTGCCCCAGTCTAGGACTGTTAACTTCTGTGCTAGACTGGCACGTTTTTATGGATTGTACTATAAGTTGTACTATGGATTGTACTATAAGTTGTACTATGGATTGTACTATAAGTTGTACTATGGATTGTACTATAAGTTGTACTATGGATTGTACTATAAGTAAAAATGAAAATGTATAAAATCAAAACTGGCTGGGTTTTCACACTCAGTTCCAAGACTGCAATAATTTTTTTTTTTTAAGTGAATGTGTGTGTGTGTACGGCCATGCGTTGATGGTTGCAAGCGAGCATGCATATATGTGCGTGTGTATGTATCTGCACACATGTATGTGTATGTGTGCGTACGTTGTATGTGTGCCTGTGCGTGCGTGCCGGCGTGTGTGTGTGTGTATGTGTGTGTGTATATATATGTTATGTTCGAGATTAAAATCGAGGTCGTGCGTTTTCAGGTTTGGCCGTAAGAAGCCGTCGTGCGCATTCTACGTCATCGCCGGTCTCCCGCTCATCCTCGTCCCGTTCCTGCCGAAAAGCACGGGTGAGTTGACACGCGCGTTAACGATCGATGCTTCTAGTTTATTGGTATTGGCCTCGTATCGCCACGCGACGCCCACTTACCCCCCAGTTCATTCTACGTCCACTCTCCATGCGTTTCACTCGAGTGACGATCAAGCGGCAGAACTCACACGCCATGCCACTCTATCTCCAGCGCTATCCTTCTCTTACGATACACTCTTCAGTTCGTCGTACAATTCCCAGGGATGAGATTCTTCCGCGGATCCGCGGAAATCCGCGGATTTGACAGTCCCAGGGGTCGATTTTGTGAAACGTCTAAATTCGTTGAGAAAATTGGGAGGGGGGTAACAATGTAACAATTTAAATTATATAACCTCAACAGCACCTGACTGTAGACTGTAGAGTGTAGACAGTAGGCTGACAGCGAAGTATACAGTGTATCTGTTTTTGCGTACCAGAAAAGAAAATCCTCGTTCACAGGCTGCAGTAGAGGGGTTTGAGGTAGCTGATCACGTAACGACCATGCCTGGCCTGGGGGCCAGGTTTACATGTTACTGCGTGCATGTTGTGTACATGACTATGCACTGATTGTTCCATTCGCATTGTGTTTTTTTCATTCAAATCTCGTCGCAGCAAGGCAGCTTATGTCTGAGTAAAACAATGCAAGCGACGGGTGAAAACAGAAAAATATCATTATGTCTAGACATTTAATAAAAAAAATTGCCCTATTTTCAGCCCCCTGATTTCCTATTATAGTTCGTTTGTTCCTTTTGACAACTTGAAAAGGTGATTCAAGAGTCTCCTATAATTTGTTCAGAATAGCTTAGAATGCACCAAATTGCACCATTCTTTTAAAAAAATTCCCGGACCCCCCTAGCATGGCGATGACCTACGGTCCTCGCGTAATTGCTCGCTCTTCGGTTTACTAATTAAAATTTCAGCTGAATATTAAATTATCCAATCTCATCCCTGAATTCCGTGCTATGATACGCATCTTATTTATAACACTTACTATAGTATTGAAGCCGATAATTTGTTCCCGGTCGTCGCTAAAGTCGTAACGTTGTCGTTGGATCTGCATATAGTAAAATGGGTGATTATAACTAGTATGTCATATATGGCACATAGCTTAAAGATGCTTTCCCCGGAGCACGCATTTTTGTGACAAACCACTGTAAAAACGTAAGTAAATAACTCGCTACACTTTAACTGAACGTTAGCATTGAAAATAAAACTGTAAAAATACGTATCAAGCCTATATTCGCTCAACGAAAAAACAACTCGAAAAAACGCGTTTCGCTGCGGTTCTGTATCATGGTGACAAGAGTCGACGCAGGTCACGTAACCAGCACAGCCATAGATATCGTATAACGTGTTATATGATATCTATGAGCACATGCAGCCTTCATGACCTTCAGCGCTTGGCAACACCGCATGGCAACAAGTGACACGTCACAACATCGGCGCAGAGCGGCAAAAGTAAACGCTGTTGGAAACATTCGACCCGACCCTTTAACTTTTTTAGTCTAAAAGCTTCGAATGAACGTATTCCCGGGCATTTTTTTACCTATCACACATATATATGCAAGTACAAACATGCAATGTTAAAATAATTCATTTTTGCCTGATTTTATGTTTGCCGCTTGAAATTTCGAGGGAAGGCACGCCCGGCCCCCCACTCAGTGTTATTTAGGGTACGCATATGCTCGTTCCCTCCCTTTGAAAGCACCCCCCTATCTCAGGACTGCCAAAATTTCTAAATCCCCCCTTTCGCGGGCTTTTTGCGGGGTTTTCCTGTCTTGGAGAACCCCCTAAATCTGGAACACTACGTATAGACTGGTACCCGTTCGCCACCTTCACTCCGGTACGTATCCTTCGCTACACTGACGTAGTGACGTTAGTGTAGCGTGTGGAACTGTCGACCGGGTACCAGTCTACACTACGTAGTGTAGAGTTCAGTGATCGAGGGGAACTAGGGAGCAATATTTTTATTTTTCAAAATGAAATAATCCTGAATGAGCTTTCAAAACTAGCAGGAATTTCAGGAATTTGATCCCAGGATTTGATAAAGTTTTCTATGATATTCAAGATGAAAGAGAGAGAGAGGAAAAACACCCCTTTTTTAAAGAAATCTCCGGGTGAAAAGTCAAATACACCCCCTTTTTTACAATTCTTGGGCCGGATTTTGTCGCGCGAAAAATACCCCTTTACCGGAGATTTTGGGAACGCGCATGCGGTCCTTCCGACCTCGGAGTGGGGGGGCCGGGAAGGCACCTTTAACTAACGCACGCCGCACTCGGGTAGGCTGCTCGGTCATTATGCTCTGCACGCTCGCCTACTACGGAGATTACGGGCTTGAGGTTAATCAGTGATCTGTGACAGTCGGTGTCGCGTGTACTAGTTAGTCATCGTCGTGGGATTAGCACAAATTAGCGGAAACAAATTAGCGAGTGGGTGCCTCCATCGTCACGCAGGCAGTGGGTCAGTTAATTAAGGTAGAAATTTTAGTGTTGCATCTCTTGCTGATAGTAGTGTATATGATTGTACGTGTAGAGACGAACCATGTACGGTAGCAAACGCCTCTGTAAATCACACCTTTGGCATTTTTCCTCCAGTGACCATTATACGGTGAAACAACCTGAATAGAACAGACACCTGTCTATACATGGCACTCTTGCTATTTTGCCCTGACTGACTGACTATGTACAGGTTTGCCTATGTACGTATTAGTCGTTAAACATCAGCTTGTTGGTAGTGTATGTACTAACCTACCCCCAGTTTGCATCGGCTACAAACATTCGCAGACGCCTGTGATGAAAATGTGCCCAGTCACCAAAGGCGAGTAAGAATAATATTGAGCCCAAGCATTTCATATGAAGGTCGCTACAAATGCGAGAGTTTACTTTGTATATTTAACATTCTATAATGAGTGGAATCATTACGGTTGAATGCTACTGTTATGCCAATACAATTCGTTTACCGTTTCCTAGGATTCCAATAAATTTTTTTACGACTAGCATAAAAACTAATTCGACCTATACGTGCTAGGAACTGCTAGGAAAAGTTTTTCTCACAGAATATTTGCGCCGAATCTTCATGCTCATGGTACATAATAGCGTAAATTCCCACGAACACGATTCCTAAACTTTTGCGCTTTATGCAATGAGCTGAAACCCTAATACTTGTTTCCTTAGAGACCCAAGTGACTTGTACTTTTTGGGCAACTTTTTATTGCTGGACGCCATGGAACGGCACGATTAATTTGCGATGACTTGTTTCGTTTATTCTCACAGCCAGTGGCACAGACCTCTCTAACCTCGTTACTCTCCTGACGATGATCGGAAAGTTTGGTGTCACTGCTTCGTTCAGCGCCATCTATCTGGTGGCATCAGAGTTGTATCCCACCGTTGTGAGGTAAGTTCATGAAAAATCTGTACAGCCCATAGCAAATGTGTTACCTGACTGCATAGTTCAGCCATCTGAATGTGAGAACCAGTGGTAGTTTAGTTTAGGGGGGCCTATCACAGTCATCGACGTTGTTATTAGTGTTCAAATCATAGTAGCTGTATGCAGCAGGAGTATATGATGAAAAGGGGAAGGTGGCCAACAGCAGTTGTACGCTCTTATAAATGTGAATAGATGTCAGTTCGTACCACCCTGCCAAACCTCAATACCATAAATTGGCATCGTGAAAAACCCGTGTAGTGTTCACGTTTGCGAGCATGTTGGTGCTTGTGAATGCCTCCTCTTTAGTTCCATCCATCTATTGCTGTCGTTGTAGAAGCACTGCAGTATATTTCCCTTGTGTTGAGGAGTAGCTGACTGAATGACTCGGCATTAATTTGCGTGCGCTCTGTGTGAATTACGTGTGATCGATCGCGGCGTGCAGCTGCGCACACGCACATTGATCATGACGTACCGCCATATAGTGCACAGCTGTGCATCTTCACCTGTGTGGTTCTTCACATAATTGGATCCCCCCTTCCCCGTGCACTGCATTCCCACGCAATGCTTCCCCGTGCACCCTCTCCCCGTGCACCCCCTCCCCGTGCACCCGACTGCCTTCTAATGAGCACTCGTAATTGGCCTAGTTGCGTGAGTGGTCTTGCCGCATGTCTTTATGTGATTGCACCTGTGTGGTTCTTCACATAATTGCATCCCCCCTCCCCCGTGCACTGAATTCCCGCGCAATGCTTCCCCGTGCACCCCCTCCCCGTGCACCCTCTCCCCGTGCACCTGACTGCCTTCTAATGAGCACTCGTAATTGGCCTAGTTGCGTGAGTGCTCTTGCCGCATGTCTTTATGTGATTGCCCCTTCCCCTAGCTAGCTAATTAATAGCTGTGACGTTGCTTGGGGGGGAGTGAATAGTCTAGCGTATGTTCTCTCGCTATGTTCTCCCCACCTCTTTGTCAAGCCTGTCAGAATATTTTGTACGAATCATTATTGTAATCGCAAACCCAGTTGTTGTAATTGGTCATGCAAACCACTTATATGTAATTGATCAAATAAGACCTACAGTTGTAATTAGTCATGCAAATCGTATTTTTATAGTTGCACAAATCACATTGTAATTATTAGAGCGTAATCTCCTAGGTGTTATTGTCCAATCGATACGCTTCTCATGATTTGTCGTGAACGTTTGTTTCATTGTGTCGTTGACGATGTGGTTGTGTTTTAGGAACAGTGGGCTCGGCATGTCGTGTCTGAGTGCACGCATAGGAGCCGTTCTTGCTCCCTACACCATCAATCTGGTAACTACCTATGTTTAAATTCATTTAAATTTACCTCGGTTTGAAATTTTCCATTAAAATTATACAATTACGATTAATTAATTGTCGGGCAGTGATTTGCGGATGCTGTATTTCTCGGTTGATTCAGCCTTGGTCCTCCTGTGTTCATTTTACGGCGTTAGCCATTAGTTCGAGCATTGACTCACCAGCAATCAATATTGCACACTAAATCACATTGCTGTTGGCGAAATGATGCGCATCTGACGGCGAAATGACGGATGCTCACACGAAGATGACTTGTTACCGAAACTGCTAATTTGACCCATCCACGTGACGAGTGGCAGGCAGCTCTCCTGAATTGTTGTCGCGATAGGATGTTGAAATCGATTCTAGGACTACTACCCCCTGGACAACTACCCCCGGACAACTACCACCCGGACAATTACCCCCCTAGGACAACTACCACCTGGATAACTACCCACCTAGGACAATTACCCCCTTAGGACAACCCTAATCCTATAACCCTAACCCTAGGGGGTAGTTGTCCGGGTCGCAGTTGTCCTAGGGGGCTAATTGTCCGGGGAGGGGGGGGGGGTAGTTGTCCAGGGGGTAGTCGTCCGGATACGGTTCAAATCACAATGCCTATTAAGAAAGTGGTCACACCATGTGGTTGTCAGGACGCCCTAGCCATTGATTTTTGCGATGACATGACCGTTCTATTGCGAATGCCAGATAACAAAATGCTGCAAAGGCAACAATGGCGTGTGAACGGGCGATGAAGTGCTAACCTCTAGCTTGTCTGGTGTAACAACAACATCTAAGGCTGTGTGATTATGTAGCGTTCTGATGCATAGGTCGGTTGTTCCATCTGAGCAACATAACCATGCCTCCTCAAATATTGTTGCTGAGTCGGTTCAGCTAGACCAGTTTGCAGGGTTCGTAGCGGGTCTTCCAAAGTCTTATAAGTACTTATTTTGCCAAAAATAAAATAAGGGCCCTTATTAGTACTTATTTTTGGTAAAATCTTAGAAAAGTACCTAATAGTCCTTATTTTTTATATTATTGTTGTATATATAATACGGAACAATTAAATCTGATGTGCAATTGTGTATATAAATATTATTAGTGTACTTTAGTAGTCGGTGATCTATCAGAAATCGCGTAAAAAAGTCTTATTTTGGCCTCCAGAAAGGGTCTTATAAGTCCTTATTTCAACATGTGGCTTACTACTATGAACCCTGGTTTGTAAAGATTTTGTATGCCTGCTTGACAAATGGCGACGTTGCTGCACTTCGTTGCCAAGCATTCTCTTTTAGAACGTGCTATTGCAGCGCGGATGAATCCTGACTAAGCTGCAGTCTAGCAGTTATATTGGACTCTCGGACAGTCCTCGGCTGACCTAGCAATAATATCCTGCGTGTTAAATATCCTAAAGTTATCCTGCGTGGATGGAAAGGTGGAATGTCTCTGCATCCTCACATTCTTGTATCGTCGTTGTGATCGTTGCTCCAGGGTATTAGCCAGGAATGAGTATTGTCGGAGTGCAGAATAATATTTGGGAGTGCAATTTTTGTGTGTGTCTCAGCCAAGACCGCCGTAAGCGTTCACGGGTGGGGTAGTAACCTCTCCCTCTCATTGGGGGGGTCTCCCAGAATTTTTTTAATTTTTTTAATTTTTTCCGTTGTGCAGTTTCATAACTGACTGTGCAAATCACGGCTGCACGGCTCGCTGGCTAATACATTGCGTTGCTCCACGTTCTCCTGCAGAGAGACATCCACCCGGCATTCCAGAACCTGCTGTTTGCCGTCGTCGCCGCTGCTGGAGCCCTGATGGTCATGGTGCTGCCGGAGACAGCTCGCCGACTCCTTCCCGAGACACTCAGCGACTGCGAAGGTGACCTTGACCCGCCGTCGGACGACCTTGACACGAGCGCGAAGGACGTGACCTCGGCGCAGGCGCGCCTCGTGTGCGACGCAGCGACGCGGAACGGCGTGCCACCAGGGGGCGTTGATGGTGTGACGGTGAAGGGAAAGAACGGCGTCGCAGTTGCCAGCCAGCGTGAGGAATGCAGCGTGTGAGCGGAGGTTGCCGGGAACGTTTTTGGTGGCGCCGCGCATGATGATTTTTGAAGCGACTTTCTAAGGTTATTTTCGCGCGAGTTTTCGTCGCGGTGATGCATTCCATCCCTGAGCGAAACGGAAGTGAAACAGGAGCTACAGGAGGGAAACGCAACAGGGCATTGTGTGTAAATATGTGTGACTCACCTACATGAATCTCTGACGTGGTTGGTTCATTAAGAGAGTGAGAGCTGCCACTGTGCGGCTAGATGTAGCATGTGATAAAAGCACATGCCATAGGACTCATGTCGGTATTTATGGCAGTTTCCCTAACGCGTGATTGAAAGTGCTCTAAAGGGGGACTTATGTCGGGCTTGCGAGCCGACTCGACTGGAAGCAACTGGATTTCGAGCAACTGGAAGCGATCGGCAGCTGGACTAGTTGCTCCCAGTTGCCCACTGTTCTATTTCGAGGCAACTAGTGTGCGGCCAGTCGCAGCTAGTCGCCGTCGCAGTCGACGACGCTGAAGCACTGCAGTGCGAGTGAATTGCAGCAGTTGCCTTCCAAAGTTCAGGTCGAGTCGGCTCGCAAGCCGACATACCCCCCGCTGCGGCCGCGCCGCCTTATACCGCTGAGCTAAATTCAGCGTGGAGCCGGTTTTGGTGATCAGTAGGAAAATGGACTGCTCGCAGGATTTATGTGTGTCGTCATAAGTCATGATCGTGATAAGTAATGATCCATGAATCATTTCCGGAAGACCATAATGTGATAGGCAAAGTAGCATCGACCGTTCTGTGCTACATGCAATGCTTGTCATTTTGCTGCATTCCCATATATATATATATATATATATATATATATATATATATATATATATACGTACGTACGTATACTAAAATAAGATTACTATAAGCGTTGCTCGGCAGCAGCAGAAATCGTGTGTATAGCGACATAGAGCCGTCTATTGGGGAATTGTATGGAATCGCAGTCGCAAAGTACCTAACCGCCGTTATAGGCGAGGAACTATTGTATAATAGTCAATCTCACATACGCACGCATGCACGCACGCAATCACGGGTCTACATATTAGTCTATGAACGTCTTTGTATTTATATTTGTGTGCGTTCATGGTTCGCTGCCTTGTTCCACAAGAGAAGAGAAAGCAAATTACACTGCCATACTGAATTAAACGTTATTAAATAGAAAGCACTCAGGGATTAAAGATCTGTTACATACTGCGGTTTTTTATTGGGTATATACCATAATGGCTTGTGTTGTGTCTTGTGTGTCGTGAGTATGCATATCTAAGTGCGCTAGTACACGCGTGCCTGCTCGCTCGCGTATGTGCACGCGTGCCTGCTCGCTCACGTAGATGCACGCGTGCGTGCTCGCTCACGTAGATGCACGCGTGCGTGCTCGCTCACGTAGATGCACGCGTGCGTGCTCGCTCACGTAGATGCACGCGTGCCTGCTCGCTCGCGTAGATGCACGCGTGCGTGCTCGCTCGCGTATGTGCACGCGTGCCTGCTCGCTCGCGTATGTGCACGCGTGCGTGCGGGAAGCTAACTGTTAAGTGTGATACCGAGTAGGAGAGCTCGTGAAGAACTAACAGAGTCGTGGTGTGGTAAACGCTGATCATGGGTTAGACACATGAGGAAGCTTCCAGCACGCTGTGTGATTCGTCGTAGTGAGTACTAGTAGCAGACAACTATAGGGATAGCACGCCATGCTGCGCGCAATCATGACCTGTGGCGCTCTCTGTCTCGTTTTGTGTGTATGTGTGCGTGTGTTTGCACACACGTGTGTGCGCGCCCGCGATTTCTATTGAGTAAATACAACGTAATATATATCTATATATCTATATTCACATTTCTTTAGCAAGCTGTTAAGTTTCCATCGTAGTATGTCGTGTGAATCCTTGCCCGCATATACTTTCGTTACACTAAATATAACGATGACACTACAATAACGATAGCAATATATAACCTGGAACAAATTGCTTGATTTCATTAACTAGGAGCTTTCTATTATATTCTAACTCTATTAAACATTAACAACTCGACACATAAGTAGTGTTGCGTTTTCAGCTTAGATGATTTAAAAAGGCGTCCTTGCAGGATATTGAGCCATCGTTTCTGACACTCCGTCGGTTTCAGCACTACACAAAAGAGAAAAGAAAGCTAACTTCACCCGTATACGCCGCAAAACAAAATGTGCTGCAGCCCACAATATTTGCATAATATCTTTTTGTACACTGTCACTGTCATTGCCACACACGTATGGTATAGTGCCACCGATCCACAGGTAACCTGCAGTCTGCCTGCAATAGCCGCCCCCCCCCCCCCCCCCCCCCCCCCCCCCCCCCCCGCCCCCCCCCCCCCCCCCCCCGCCCCGCCCCCCGCCCCCCCCCCCCCCCCCCGCCCCCCCCCCGCCCCGCCCACCCCCCCCGCCGCCCCCCCCCCCCCCCCCCCCCCCCCCCCCCGCCGCCCCGCCCCCCCCCCGCCCCCCGCCCCCCCTCGCCCCCCCCCCCCCCCCCCCCCCCCCGCCCCCCGCCCGCCCCCCCCCCCCCCCCCCGCCCCCCCCCCCCCCCCCCGCCCCCCCGCCCCCCCCCCCCCCGCCCCCCCCCCCCCCCCCCCCCCCCCCCCCCGCGCCCCGCCGCCCCCCCCCCCCCGCCCCCCCCCCCCCCCCCCCCCCCCCCCACCCCCCCCCGCCCCCGCCCCCGCCCCCCCCGCCCCCCCCCCCCCCCCCGCCCCCTCCCCCCCCCCCGCCCCCCCCCCCCCCCCCCCCCCCCCCCCCCCCCCCCCCCCCCCCCCCCCCCACCTTACGTTACCATGCACCATTCTATAACACAGTAAAGCAAGGTTATGGCGATGCTATGCTATAACGTTTACTCATTCATTAAACGCATTGATTCACTGATTCATATTATGAATTTCGAGCCAATTACAGCCCTGTTCTGTTCAATTAAAATTCTAGTTTTCAGAGCAGTCTTCTACAGTATGATATTTATGTTCTGTTTAAAACACTGCTCTACTGCTGCATTATTAAAGTTGAACTTCTTATTTTCATTTTCTTATTTTCATCCCTATTCTGAAACAGGAATACATATTTTGGTCGCGAGAGCAACCCAGACAACGCCGGGTCCTCCATTAGTAAAAATATATTCGAGATGACTCCAAAATATTACTAAGCAATACTACATACCACAATAGAGCTTATAGATCTTGATACAATAATTATATTGGCTAAACACCTCGTCATTTCACATCTGGTGATTGCCCCAGTGGTCACTGTAATATTTAAGAGATCACTCGAATCGGGCGAAGTCCCCATAATGTGCGCCATATGCACACAGTGACGCCAAATATTAGCGCAAGGGAGCAAAAGCTGGGCCAGAAAATTAAGAGGCGCGGTTACCTGACGCTGCATTTTTTGCGAACCTGTGTGGAGAGGGAATGATTGCCAAGTCAGTCATTAAGCTTGACTGCTGAGAACTACTCGCAGCGGAAGCAATACGGGGTTCAGAAAACTCGATCATGCAGCTCTCAGGATGATGGTTTGTTCTGAAGAGTGGACTGACTCCGATTGGAAAGAAGAGCCCATAGATACTTGTGATATCTTTGACTTTCAGAAGCGTGTTGAGCAAGGTGCCACACGAACTCCTAACCAGTAAGTTAGAATCCCTGGGGATCAGATGGTAACACACTTGCTGGATATAAAAAATACCTAGCAAACAGAGAAGCAGAGGGTGGTGACTAAATGAGTGAGGTTCCACACCAGATTACAGTAACAGTGTGGCGTGCCTCCAAAGCAAGGTGTAGCTCGGCCCAGCACCATTCATTCTTATCAAAATAACCTTCCAGTTGTATACTACAACAGAACATCTACGCGCTATGTCGCTGACGACACAAACTATAGTGAAGCTAGTAGCGTACGAAGCGTGGTCAAACATTCAAGAAGACGTGATAGGGTCTAGAAATGGCCGTACATGGCGGATGAAAATTCCATCCTTAAAAATGTAAAGTTACTCAGGACTATGAACAGGTCACGTCTGGACTATAGCTATCGAAAAATCGAGAGGAAGCCCAACACAGTGGTCGGCTTTCTGGAATTCGTGAGCAACAGGCAGGATCTCGGTACATACGGACAAACGCCTCACTTGAAGACCATATAAATACAAGTGGTGCGCAGCAAAGGGCATAGTCCGGCATAATCATGGCGCACCTTCCATTACATTCAAAGATATATTTTAGATTACGTTCAAATGCCATGGATAAGACGATAATTGAAATCGGTAATCAGCGGTATGGCCCATTATCTAGGACGAGATCGGTCTCACTAAAGAAATCGAGAGCGTACAACGATAAGCATCCAAACAAGTACGGCCGGGTTAACAAAATCTGGCGCGTATGACGAAAGGCTATCGCCTGTTAAAATTATCATCTACTTTTTTATAACAGAAGAAAGGACGGGTGGACAATGATTGAGGTCTGGAAGCGATTACTGGAAAGATACGACGACCAGTACCCGTGGCTAAAATTAGAACAGCAACACATCAAAGTCTCAGATACAATAGCCTGAAACTGTATAATACGACAAGTAGGATCATACCTCAAAAAGAAATCATTTAGCTTTAGAACCGCCAGCGATGGACTCCCTGCCCGAGAACTTGGTCATATTC